CAGTGGTTTGTTCTGATCAGAAATAAATATAGCTTAAAGGGGCTAATAATATTGAGCTTAAAATGGCTTAAAAATTTAAAACTGCTTTTATTCTTGCTGAAATAAAACAAATAAGACTTTCTCCAGAAGAGCACATATTATCAGACACACTATGAACATTTCCTGAATCTGTTCATTTAAAAAAAGAGAAAAAATAAAATTCAAAGGGGGCGAATAATTCTGACTTCAACTGTATACTGTATCCTGTGGCCCAAACAGTAGAGAATAGCAGTACACTGCTCCTGCTGCTCATGTCTTTAACTACATGTGTTTCTCATTCACAGACATGGCACAACCCATCCAGCAGATCACCTCCAATAATGATGGCGCACACACACGGGAACCAGTTCCCTACACACTCATCACACGCAAGGAGAAGGTACGTCTACAGACACCAATGAACACGGGCAAATCCTGTTCACAAGCACCATCAATATCATTCAACACACAAAATCCAGCTCACCAAAGACTGTTCACACACACACACGTTCATGAGCACAATCAAATGCCGTTTACAAACCATCAAACACCATTCAGCTCTCTGAAATACCATTCCATGTTGCTAAATACTAGAGGTGTGACGAGTAGGGTTGTAACAATATACCGGTATGACGGTTTACCACGATTTGAACGTGCACGATTATCATACCATGAACAATTGCATATCAACGGTTTTAACCCTTAAAGACCGAGACAGCTGCCCGCGGCTAAAAATAAGTATTGCTCTTAAATGTTTAATAACTTTTGATCCGCTGATCCGATTCATACAATTCAAAGATTGGCATAAAGAAGAGAATCTCAGCTTTCTAGTGCTGTATCACATAACATTCGCAGACTTTCAGAGGCTCCGGAATCAGTGCGGTTACGTCATCAACATTTGACAACGCTGATTTGACAAAGAAACGCTCGTCACTGTGTCACCGGACAAACCAGACATGATACATTGATGTATTGTCCCTCCTCCATGCCCAGATTGGTTCAAACTCGCTATATCACAACCAATAAGCATAGGTTTCGCTTTTGTTTGTGGACCAACATGAGCGTTTTGAACAACACGGAATGAGAGATAGGCATACATTTATGCGCGGCTAAATAAAACGCAAAAAAAAAAAAGTTTTGCATGAAATAATTCTCATACTAAGTACTTTTGCATGCACAGCAGCACAGAAACATGACAAAACAGTGACACAGCAAAGACGAACTGCTGCTCTTGCTGTTTTCAAAAGACGCAAATGAAGGTGCAGCTGTTTGTCTGCATTGCAGACAACCATATCCAAATCCATATCCACAGACAACCATATCCATGCTGGCACATAAAACCTGAGGATGTTCCATATTGAATCTAGTTTCATTATGTAACTATTTATAGTATAGTAAATATTTATATCTATTTTTTACTGAGGATTTGCACCATGTTTATTTGGACTTTATTTGGACTTTAACACATTATTTATTATTTTCTTATTTTTATTTGTTCATTGTAAGTGGTGTTGTTTATAGTAATCAAAAATATATTATTTTGAAAAAGTCAAATTTGCTTCACTGTTCTATTATTTTGTAACATTTGTAACATACCGTATACCGCGAAACCGTCAAACCGGGGTATTGTTTTAGACGATTATCATACCGTGAAAAATTCATACCGTTACAACCCTAGTGACGAGACACGAGTTCACCAGGAAGAGATTTTTACAGCATTTCAGGGTTCATACACATTTTTACTAAAAGTCCAAGACTTTTTCATGATTTTTCCAAGACTTTCAAGTAAATTTTCATCACCTAATGTTTCAAAATGCAGACCATCAAATACCATTTACAAAAACCGCATACAGCTCTCTGAAATACCATCCAATATTGGTAAAGACACGACAAGATTTTTACTGCATGCTTTTGGATGAATCAACCCTTGAACTTGAAAAAAAAAAAAAAACATACAAAAAAACGTCACACTCACCCACCCCAAACCAGTGACGCACAACTCAGAGGCCAGCCTGTCAGGTGAGTGCAAAGCACTTGATGTGCGGTTCTAATCCAATCCTGCCTCCAATCTTCAGTGCTAAATTCACCCTCCATCATAACATCACAACTCACGAGAATTTTCACCTCAATGAGAAATTTCGTCTCAATTTAGTCATCCCTGCCCACAGCATCACATCCTTAGTAAATACTGTCCTCAACACCATCACTTACTGTTCACACACACAAATACTGTCCTCAACACCATCAAATACTGTTCAAACACACAAATACTGTCCTCAACACCATCAAATACTGTTCAAACACACAAATACTGTCCTCAACACCATCAAATACTGTTCAAACACACAAATACTGTCCTCAACACCATCAAATACTGTTCAAACACACAAAAACTAGCAAATACTGTCCTCAACACCATCAAATACTGTTCACACACAAAAATACTGTCCTCAACACCATCAAATACTGTTCACACACAAAAATACTGTCCTCAACACCATCAAATACTGTTCAAACACACAAAAACTAGCAAATACTGTCCTCAACACCATCAAATACTGTTCACACACACAAATACTGTCCTCAACACCATCAAATAATGTTCAAACACACAAAAACTAGCAAATACTGTCCTCAACACCATCAAATACTGTTCACACACACAAATACTGTCCTCAACACCATCAAATACTGTTTACACACACCGTCATGAACATCAGACCTGGATCTTCAGATCATGTTAGAATGTTTGAAAACTGGAGTAATGAGACTGAAAATGTAGATATACATTACAGAAATACATTACTGTTTACTACACACACACACACACACGCACATACAATTTTTATTTTTCAATAGCAACAATATTTAAAAGTTACCTTTGATTAAAATAAAGCAGCCTTGGTGAGCAGATCTGTCTTCTTGATTTCTCATTTTCTGCTGTATTGATGATTGTGTGTGTGTGTGTGTGTGTGTGTGTGTGTGTGTGTTGCAGTGT